TGTGTGTGTGTGTGTGTGTGTGTGTGTGTGTGTGTGTGTGTGTGTGTATTCATGTGTGTGTTCATGCAGCTGGACAGTGGAGCCTGTTATACCCATTTTATGGATAGAAAAACAAGTGGGCCGTCCAGACTTACAGGAATCAAACCCTTAACTGCCTCTCTGCTTCTCTTCTTGTCACAAGGAGTCAGGACCTTGCAAGCCTGTGCACCCTTCACCTCTCTGAGTAGAGCCTTGCTTCCCAGAAGGCCACCTCCTCCCTACCACACAAGTGCCTGGGAAATGGAAGGATCCCACCCCAGGGCCTGTCTGCAGCCCTCCAGCTGGAGCGAGGTCCCCCACTCTCCCTCCTGTGCCCCTGGGGACCTCAGCTTCCCACAGAGCCACAGGCTGCAGGCATGGACTCATCCTTGGAGGCCCAGCTCTGTGCTGGCAGACTATACTTCCTCCTCATTCCTCGTCTTTGGAAATAAGTTGCAGTATATTGAAAATATAATCACTGAGACTCTGAAACAAGAGCCATGGGCTCCCAGGAGCCCCCATACCTCCTTGTTAATTCCTTCTCATAACGTTTCCAGGCCTTCTGTCTGCACTTGTATTAAAAGCTCAAAGTTTTATTAAAAGTGGATTTATTTACCCAAAAAGAGATGAAACCCCAAACCTGATTGAGAGCCTAGCAGAGCTTCCTTGGCAGAGGCTTGGGTCCAACTTTGGCTGGGAGAGGAGCCCCTTATCCTCATGTCCCACAGAGCCAGCCAGCCTCTGCTGAGTTCCCCCACCCATCCAAGGGTACTCTGATCCCCAACACAGTTATGAATACACGGCAGTGGCATCCACAGGGCTCTGGGGACTAAAGGCTCTTGGGCCACAGACTTCTCTGAACAAGCCAGCATAGCTACCTTATCCTGTCCTCTTGAGCCCAACCCAACCCTCCTGAGATATGGCAAAGCATACATTTGTCCCTTAAGTGTATAGTTTAGTAACTCAACACTGGGGCTTTAGTGATCTCTGGGCTTAGTCAGCCTGGCAGGTAGGTCCCTGCTCCAGCAGCTCATGGGGCAACTCAGAAACCCTCTTGTAGGATACATGTAAGCACCCAGATAGAATGGAGCTGGCTCCCATGTTCTGGAAGCTGAAGCCTCAGGGTAGTTCTATACCCTTGGGGCCTCCTGCTGGGAACAGACCAGGTCTTCTCTGATGAATAGTGTACCCTTAGATGGGCAGGTCCCTCAAAAGAGCCTCCAGTGGGATGATGGGGGAAGCTGTGTAGGCCATATAGGCCTAGAGTTGTGCTTCCCAGTGGTCCCCATGGACTCCCCATGCTCCAAGGAAGGCAGCTTGGGAGGGCAAGGTGACTGGTTTCTCATGTGACTAACCCTTGGCCCCTGATCATTCTAGAACACATGGCATCTCCAGGGATGGCTGGCACATAGGCATTTCCAAATTCCACAGAAGCCAGTGCTTAGAATAGTTCCTACCACAGAGCAGTGACATTCGGAAATGACATTAGCATTATTATAGCAGAACCCTGCAGTGGCCATAGTGCCTGGTGGACAGGAACGTCAGAGCCAGAACATTTAAATATGAACCTGGCTTGTTGTTCACTTGCTCTCTGCTCTGGGATCTCCAGGAGTTTATCAGTTTTCTTCCTCTGTTTCTTCATCTGCAGGAAGGGGCCAGGTCTTAGGACATTGGGAGGATGGAGTACCTGAGTACATAGGGCCAGCATTTTCAGTAACTATCTGTGCCAGGGAAGATGTGCTCTTTTCAATAGCATATTTATTCAACTTCTTAATAAGCTCAAAAGACCCAATAAACTCCTGCTCCCTGGAGGAGAGGACAAAGAAGGGGCCAGGCCTCTTGCCATATGGCCTGGTCTCTGCATATACCCGGAGATATTCCCACATTCCCACAGGGAGCTTGGAGGCAGTCCATCTTCTGCACTCTAGGCTAAGGGAGATAGAAAGGCTCTGGGAAGGGCAGTGCACTCTGTGGGAGGAGGTTAAGGCTCCTGCCGTGTCTCCACAACCAGACTGGGAAGACTTGGAGGGATGTTCTTGGATCTGAGGCACAGAACTATCATAGGGTGAGAAGCAGACAAGAGCCCCATTTAGACCTGAATGCTAGAAGGATACTTTCACTCCCCAAAGATGGAGGCAGGGGGCCTGTCTGCTGTCCTCCGCTCGGAGAAAACTACTAGGACAGTGGTTTTCAACCTTCCTAATCTGCAAACCTTTCATATAGTTCCTCATGTTGTAATGACTCCCAACCATAAAATTATTTTTGTTACTATGTCAAAACTGTAATTTTGCTACTGATATGGATCATAATGTAAATATCTGTTTTTCCATGGTCTTAGGCGACCCCAGTGAAAGGGTCATTCAACCCCCAAAGGTGTCATGCCCTTTAGGTTGAGAACCACTGTACTAGGACATGACCTCAGGTGTAAGATAAGCAGGGACAGCTGACAAATACAGTGGTGTGATGTAGCCTGGAAAGAGAGATAGACAACTCCTGGCAAAGGACAGCTCAGCAAGTGGTGGTCGTGATGGTGTCAGTTTCCTCCATGTATACATTTGTGTATCCTTCAATGAACTACCATCTGTGGAAGCTTACTTCCCAGCATCCCTTCCTAGAAGCTCACTTAACCAAGCCCTGGCCTGTGTGTAACAAATGTATACAGTTGTTTATCCTTCAGTGAACTGCCATCCATTGATGGCTACTAATCAACACCCCTTCCTAGAAGCTCACATAGCCCAATCCTGGCCCGCCCGTACTGTACTCTATCCCTGGGGCACTTCCCCTTTTACTTGCTCTCCTTGGAAAACTCCTACTAATTCCTCACAATCCATCCTAAATGCTACCCCATCTGGATGTCCCTTTCTCCAGGTGGACTAGATGGATTCCTACTCTTTCCTGTGTATCTCTAGATCTCATCAACCCCAGATGTATTCAGCAGCTCTCTGTGCCTGTCCTTGACTCCCTGCTCGAGTCTATACTTGATTACTTGGTTTGGGGGAACAGGGATTGCAGAGGGCAAGGCCATTGGAGTCGGGAGCAATGCTGAATGGTACACACTTCCTGGGAGTTGGGAGTTAGCCTGGGAAGGGAAACTGGGGATGCTAGGATACCCACAAAGAAAGATAGCTGCCTAGGACCTAGGAGACTGAACTCAAATCCTTTCTCTCTCCCAACCAGGGCACAACTGTTCGGGTGATCACTGCTGTGGACCAAGATAAGGGGCGACCCCGGGGGATTGGTTACACTATTGTCTCAGGTAAGCCAAAGTCTGCATTATTTCACACATACTCGAGGAGAGCTGCTGCTGGGGCTCAGACTCAAGGAGCTGTGGACTCTACAGAAAGGTATCTGAGACCTGCCTTCACGGACAGTCCTTGCTAAGGAAGGGGACAAATGGATACAGAAGAAAGGAACAGGGTTAAAAGACCATGGTGGCTGGGAGCCCTGGGAACAGGAATGTGTGCTGTTTTCCAAGGTCTTAAGCAGTCGGCCTCTGAGACTCCGAGCCTGAAATGTGGTGGTAACCTCCTTCAGTACCCCAGATTTCTGTTATTTGGTGAAAAGCTGGCAATTTCTAACATTACTTTGGAACAAATTGCTGCTGTCTGATTTCATGTTCTAGTCACATGTCTAGCCAATAAGCATTTAGGTAGCTCTGGGATATCAGCGAAGGAGATCCTTGGCCTCTTCCCCACCAGTAGATCTGTTGGCCGTGTAGAACGTAACTGACCAAATTGATGGCTCTGAGTAAGGAGATGCCTAGGTCATGCCTCACCCATAGGCTGACCCCTGACATCTCTAGGGGGCTGTTCAAGGACTATTGCCCTCACTCAGAAGTGTTGGCTCTGTTCCTGAAACATGCACACCTGCTCATGGCACCCTCGCTCTGTGTGCAGTCTCTGAAGGCTCAGCCTGGTGGATCCAGGCAAGCCAGACAGATGAGGAGGAAGTCAGGTCACCCGACCCTACCCCCAAGAGAAGAGAGTGATGTGGTCAGAGCATTTCTTAAAAGGGAGAAAGGCATGGGGATCAAGAAGGGAGTAGGGAGGGTCTCCTGAGCCAGCTATGTTGGTTGGGTCTGTCTCACTTGTTATTCATATATCAGGAACAGTAAGAATACTTGGCTTAAGGTAGTCTGTGGATCACATGACTTACTCTGGTGAAGAGCTCATGTCAGAGAGTACTTTGTAAGCATTTGCTCTTGATACTACTACCAGCAGCTACGAGACTAAGGCAGCTGTGGGCAGCAGAGCACTCGCATGCCTAGGATCATAGGAAGCCAGAAGTGTTGTATCCCTCAGACAACCTGCAGGTACTTACAGTACTCTTCTTATACTGAAAACCCAGAGAGCCCCAAGACAGGGCAGATACAGCCAATCTGGACTGAGCATCTGTAGGAATTAGTGCTTGGACCCCTGAATCCCTCTGATGCCTTCTACCATGTCCCCATTCTGGTATCCAGGACAGGATCCAGCCCAGAGTAGACCCTGATATATACTCACCCAATGACTATCATTCCTGGGGCCACTGGTGTGATGACTCAAGCCTTAGGCATCTCGGCAGCCTGCGCTGGTGGCAGGAGCTCTGTCTTTACATGGCAAGGCCCACCTGTCCCAACCAGGTATACAGAGACCCAAGCTAACACCCACCCCATGCAGCTAACCTGTCCAGATCTGAGGCCCTGTCCCCTCTGGGCTATTTATCAGCCACAGCGAGGGGATTTATATCTGCCCACAAGTGCTCTCCCCACTCCTAATGATCCCTTTTGTTTTGCCAAGAGCAAAGAGGCCTTCAGTGGTAAGTTATGGCTCCATCTCCATCAATTTGTTCTCAGCCCCTCGTGGCCACGCTGAGCCTGATGAATGACAAGGTTCTTTCCCACAGAGGACTTGGCACGGGCCCCATCTCTTCCTGTGCCTGCCACCCCAGCACCAGGAGCATCATTCTCTCAACACCAGGCTATGAGAGCCTTTATAGAGGCCTCTTCCAGCCTGAAGTCTGAGTGGATACTCTCTAGCTTCATGAACCCTCCTATAACCCAAACAGTCCTACTTCAAGAAACACTCTGTCTACCCCAGGCAGAGAACTGTGGGATTAAGAACATGCTCTGCTCCCTGCCAGAGCTATTTCAGAAGGTATTTGACCTACTGTAGGCTTGATGGTGCTTACCTATAATATGAGATTTAAAATCCTAGAGCTGTGGATGTAGCTCAGTTGGTCAATGTTCCAGGGCTACGTAAAACTGGCTGTGGCGGTGGACACCTGCCGTACCAGCACTGGGTTGGTGGAGGTGGAAGGATCTCTAGAAAGGTCGAGGTCATCCTTGGCTACGCAGCAAGTGGGTGAGTTTGAGGCTAGCCTGGGACATATGACACCCTGTTGCAAAGATAAAATGTAATAATTTTAAAAATAAAAAGAAGGGAGGGAAGGAGGAAAATAAATTTAAAATAAAATTTAAGAAAAGAAAATATAATCCCTATATGGAACTGATGGTTCTGGAAGGACCATAAAACACTAAGACTGATTAGTAATTGTCAGAGAAGGATCCCTGAGACTGGTTCATTTTCCTAAGGTACAGAGAAGCATTGAACAAGGACCTCTGTCCTTGGTGTACCTCCATGCAGACTGGCTAGTACAGCATCCCCACAAAGTTCCTGAGCACATGGAACAGCCTCTGTACCTGGCTGTTCTCAAGTGAGAAGTACAGTCAGTGTGACATATAGGGCTGGGATGTGGCTCAGGAAGAGCTCACAGGCTTAGCATGTGTAAGAAACAATATCAATGTGTCCTGTTGGCAGTGTGTTAAGTAAGTGGTAACATTTCAGATTTCCTGTATTACCTCCAGTCCAGTACCAAACTCAGTTTTCAGTTTTAGATTTAAGTTGCACCTGTGCTCAGATAGCTCCAGAAGACCCTGCTCTGGTGTGGAGGTAGCTCCAGCCCATGACCATGCCCAGCGGGGCACTGCGAGGGCTAAGCAAGCCAAGCAAACCAGCAGTCAGTCAGCCAGTGGGGCACGGATTCCACAGCAGGTGTTCACAGAGACAGGCAGCACTCTCTCTTCACCCACACAGATGGCCGAGGACCATCTAGGCCAGAAATGGTGATGATGTCCTGAAAGGGTAGGAACCATGCACCATATCAGTCTCAGAAACCTGCAGTTTTGCCAGGAAGATGTACCTGTAGCTTCAGAGTGACTGCGAAGATGTCCAGGATAACTAAGGAGGAGGCAGTGGCAGTGAGGGAAAAGGAAGAGGCTAAAGCTGCATCTTTAGAGGCAGGGCTAGATGTCAGCATGGACTGGGGCTGGGACCCCCCCCCACACACACGCTTTCCCTTGTAAGAAGAAATTAAAAAATTCCACACGATGCTGCACGCCCAAACACTGGGAGTGGGAACTTTGTCAAGGTTTGGCCATCAAAGCTGGCAAGCATCATAGATCATGAATGGTGATCATGAATGGGGATTAGCATTATGAGCAGAGTAAGGGGAGCCTGACACATGTGTTACTTACAGTGGCTGAACACAGAGTACCTGAGGTTATGAAGAGACAAACTGGTGACGGTGCCAGGGCCAGCTGTGTGGTATGCGGATGGCCAGCATGGGTCCTGAGAGCACTGGAGGCTCACTTGGGCCACAACAGGAGAAGGATGATGCTAGGCATGGGCTTGGGGTGCACAGTATGGCAATAGTGGGGTTAATGGCTTGGGGAAGAAGAGGCTAAAGCAGGTAGACCTTGTCCCGTGGGGTGGTGGCAACACTAGCCAGCGGCCATGGGGCAAGGACAGAACAGAGGATAAGAGGAAGGCCAGGAGGCAGCCGGGCCCAGTGACTGATATCCAGGTGGCATAGGTCAGTGATGAGTCTGGGGACTGCTCTGTATCCTTTGTGTTTTCCCCTCTCTCTTCGGGGGGGGGGGGGGGGGGGGGGACGGACAGTTCCTGTCCTGACTTTCTTTGATGATGAGCACTGATATTGAAGTATAAGCCAAACGAACCCTTTCCTCCCCACATCTTACTTTTGGTTATGGTGTTTCGTCACTGCAATGGTAACCCTAACTAGACAGTCTACCCCTGGGTTCTACCCTGACATCCTATCCCAGCAAGGGGCCCATTTCTACACTCCTTTCAATCACTCCACAGATAGGGAATCGTTTGGGGACACTGCAGGGTAATGACTTCTACACTGAATCTGTGAGGGTGAGACTGTGTGGATGCTTTGGTCTCCTTGGGCTGAGCATCCATGGTGCCTGACAGAGGCAGTCCTCCTTGGAGCCTCTCCCTGCAGTAGGAGCCCTGTGACCATTTAGGTTATATAGATTTGGGTAGTAAGCCTACCCTAGAGCTTTCCATGGCTTTCGACATCCAGTCTCACCCTCAGTTCAGGCCTCCTTGGTCCTCTCTAGTAGTCTACACCTCTTCCCCCACCTGCCTTCTGTGCACCCCTTCCCAAAGACAGAGCAGAGGTGACCCCAACTTGGTAGGTATGCACATGTCCCAGACCTGGCCTAGCTGGACCTTGAGTTCGCCTTCACAAGAGTCAATGAAGGAGAGACATTTATCCATTTCTAGGCAGGGAAAGATAAGAGGTGTGCCTACCTTGGCCAACGGTCCGTAGCTACCAAGTGGCAGAGCAGGCATTGAACCCATCTCTTGAGCTCCATAAAACACCCAATTTCCATGACAACAGAGGTTCCAAGACCATCAGCATTGACATCACCCAAGAAACTGATGGAGATGCAACATCCAGGGACCTTGCTGGAAGAGGGGCAGACAACACTGAGAGTGCTGGACCCCACCATGGGAAGCCCTGCATGCTTTCTGCACAGGCGGTAGCTCCCACCAAGAGCGTGAAGTTTCCTATGGGTGTGTGTGGGGGGGGGGGTGAAAAGCTTCTTAACTCTTTTTATCACATATATGTGTGTGTGGTATTGGAGTCACACGTCAGGGAGATAATTAGGAACAAGGGCCTCCAGGGGACTCATGGGGCGGAACAGGGAGGGGTGGGGAACGTCGAGAAAAGAAGGTTGGTTAGGAAGTGCTAGTCGAGAGTAAAGACTAAATGAGAAGTGTGCTGACTCTAATCTCTCACCTTCACCTTACAGCACATCTGCCTCACACGCAAGGTCACACAGGGGCCACACCAGGCACCGTGGTGGAGGGCAGTGAGGTGCTGGGATCCTTCCCAGATTTGCTATCAGATAAGGGTTTTTTGAAAATATATTGTTTAGGAGGGAAAGCTGGTGCACATGTGAGA